ATCTCCATTTTATCTAAAGGCACACTGGAGCAACAAAAGCTACTGCTCACAAGAATGGAGCAACTTCCCTACAAGATCTATAACCAAGGACTTTTGGAGAAGCTAAGGCATCTAAAAGCAATGGACACCCTTCAAAAGCATGTACATAATCAAATACAGATCAAGCTGTGCTTATTTTGCAAGTATTAATTTTGTTCAACTAAGCATCCAAATTAACGTCCAAATGCTGGAGTTATCCAACACAATTAAGACAGCATCAAGACTTATAAAAACATAGCTCAGCACATCTTCATGTGACTAACAACTCAAAATGCGTCCCTTCTAACCCCCCAAGTGTTACGGGGTTATGCTGTTAGGAGCCATGGCTGTGCGGGGATTTGCCTGTCTGGAGCACAAGGTCTGTTTCACTTGCAGAGTTGTCCACGGACAAGAACAAACGAGGGAATTGATAAGCAAGCGGCTGTGCTGATGCCAGAAGTGTCCCCGCCGCGCACCTGAGGAGAGCGCAGCAAAGGGCTCGCCTGCAGCTGGAGGTCCCCAAGCCCCAGGAGCCAGGCTGGAGGGGCTGATCTTCCCCCGGTGCTCGTCACACCCACGCACCCTCACAGCCTCTCCCGGCTGAGGGGGCATCCAGGGCGGCTGTGCATCCCTCCTCCCGCCACCCTGCCCCGGGGGAGCGCAGCTGGGCAGGCGGGCACGGGAGACGGGCACGGGCCGCCCTCCGCCCCGCCGAGCGAATGGCGGCAGGAAGCCTTCCCCCGGCCCTCCCGTGACTCGCTTCCTCCGCCGGACGGGAACTGGGCGGAGTGAGCGGCCCCGGCCCCGCCAGCGGAGCCGTCCCGCCGTGCCCGGTGCCTGCGGAGCGCCGCGGCCGCCCCCGCGGGGACGGACGGGCGGACGGACGGACGGGCGGGCGGAGGGAGGGACGCTGCCGAGCCCCGCCGCCGGGGCGTGCCAGCGCCGCGCTCCCCGCTCCTGCCCGGGCTCCGCCGCGCCGCAGCACCAACATGCCCGCCGTCGACAAGCTCCTCCTGGAAGAGGCTCTGCAGGACAGCCCGCAGGTAGCGCCCGCTGCCGGGACAGCCCGTCCGTCCGTCCGTCCGTCGGTGTGAGGCACCTGAGCGCTCGGTGCCGGCGGGCAGCCCGCGGGTCCGGCCGGGCCGGGGAGCAGCGGGGAGAGGGGTGCCCGGGCGGGCGGGGGACAGCGCTCGGGGCGGGCTGGGCTGTCCGGGCCGTCGGGGAGCGGGGATGCGCTGAGCGGCCGTGCGGCCGGGGGAGGTCTGGTGTTCGTGGCGAACAGCAGGCAGTCTGCTCCTCTTGTCCCCCGGGCGAGGGACTCCCCCAGCGCGGGCAGGGAGACTGCTGCGGCTGTTCGCTCGCACCGTGCCGTGTGGGAGCGCGCTCGGTGGCCGTAAGGCTTGCCCTGAACTGCTGAGGGTGTCGGGGAAGGACAGGCGGGCAGGGCTCGGTGCGCTGGCTTCCCCCGGAGGGAAAGGGACACCTGTGCGCGGTGAGTCACCTGGCCGCGCTGACAAAATGGGCTGGAGGAGTGTCACCGCCAGCGTGCCTGCTCCTCAAGGGCCGCAGTTCCCATGTAGGAGCTCCCATGAGGATAGGTGAGGCGGATCCCACCGAAGATGACCTTCTGAAGGGCTGTGAGAACGAGGAGAGGCGGTGGCTGCCCTTCCCTTCCCGAGTGCAGGGAGGATGCTCCTCCTTCGGCCCCGGCGCAGCGCCCCGTGCCCCGCCGCCGGGAGCCGCCGTGTGCCCGGCTGCCCTGCGGACCCGGCACTGGGGGAGGCCCACAGAGAAGAACGTGTGTCTTGATATGTTCAGGGGCTGGCTGAGTGGAAAAGAGAAGTTAGAGGAAGGGGAAATAATGGAAATTCCACTGAGGGATGCGGAAGGTGCGCTTGGGAACAAAGCGTTGTGCAGAGCGAGATACAGAAGTAGCTGGTGAACAGGGGAAAAGCAAACGAGGGCAGGGCGGATCAGTATGGGTACAGCTCCCAGGTAACCCTGTGTTGTAATCCCAACGTGTCTGCTGGTGGATCAGGAGCAGGAATGAATAGGTAAGCTGTAGGGCAGATTGCTGCAAGGTGTTACAGAGCCTGTCATGAGACATCTTGAAGGAAAGATTGGAAGTGCACCTGTCAGGACTTAATGAACCTCGGGTCTTAAGATCTTACTTGCCTCATTTTAGCCTGGTTTTTTGTAATTTCATGAAATCCCATTCTAGTAAGAAGGATTTCCATCATCTGTTTGATGTGGCGTATTTGTAATCATCCTTGGGAATTTTAAACACTGTGTTGGAAGAAGTGTTGAGTAATGTGAAGTTACACCAAAGTCAACCCTGCTTGGAGCAGAGGGTTGGACTAGGTGACCTGCGGAGTTCCTTACCAGACTGAGCTTTTCTGCGTTCCACAGTTTACCAGAATGTACCAGATTAATTATGGCTAGCTAGTAACATTTTTATTGTTAACCTACCCACTGTGTCCTAAAGCTGAAGAAATTTACATGCAGGAGAAATGAGCTAATTTACCTCTTCAGTCAACACTTCCCTCAGTGATTAAAAATGTAACACCGTCTGAAAGCATTTGAGCAATGCACTGAACTGAATTTGGAGGTAATCATCTTACCTGTGTCCTGAAATGAAGGCTGTCAATGTCTCCTTTGCCATCACTAGAATACCAGGCAATGCATAAACCTGCGTATTGGCAAGATGTTTTACCCTGATTTTTTTGCTTTTTCTTCAAGTTCTATGGCTTTCAGAGTGAGGGACGTTTAATTTTTATAATGGCCCAGTGTTGCTAAAATATACTCTTTTTATGCAAGGAAGCAGGAGTGGGTTTTTCAGTCTTTTATATTTTTATTACTTTTGTCATTGGGGAGAGCTTTAGATTCACAAAATCAAAGCAAAAAGTTAGTCTCTGTTCCACAGAAATAAGCAGTATAGCATCTTATAGGACCAGTTACTTCTGCAAGAAGGATCCTGATTCTCTCCTGCTCTGTGCAGTCACAGGAGTGCAAAGGGATGGTGAAATGAGGATATAACCTCACTTTCTATAATCTGTGGGAAGTATGTGATTTACATGCAAGACCGAGGAGAATTAGGCCAAAGTTATTTCTTCATCAGGTTTCTAGAACTTCATTTATCTCTCCCCATCAGTACAGTACTTTTGTCTTGATTTGTCTCTAGACACTGGCTGAAGAGGCCATAAGAAGTGTCTTAATTTTGATGTGTTTAGCTACAAAATAGAGAAAAATTTATGCCAGCAGTCATGCTAAAATCAAGGGAAGTACTTACATGAAACTAGAAAATTTTTTCCTATCCTTTCAGAAGCTGAGATAATGTTGTGAATAATGGGGCCTCCTAAATGTTAGCTTAATATTTGGATCACTGGTTTATTTCAACAGAATTAACTGCTATTCCAAAATTTGTCAAAACAGCAACAAAGAAAATACATATATGCTGGTATTTTGTTACAGTGATTTCATATTCTTAAATGTAAAAGTTTCCAACAATAACTTCCAAACTGTCTGAATAATTTATTGTTTTTATTATTTTTGAACAATGTGCTAATAACAGAGGCCAAGACTTTCAGAAGTTGGTTTCTGGAGCTGTTCTACCTCAAACCATATTTAGACAAACCAAAAATCTGAGTCTGCAAAAATTCACTAAAATTTATAAATGCAGTTGACATTCCTGTATTTGGGAACCTTTTCCAGCAGGCAGAACTATGTGATTTGTAGCCCAATTTAGGCAATTTCTTTATAATCATTGAGTTTTGGCTTGACATTTGGCTTGATAAGCATTGTGTCAAGTTTTATAGTTTTTGCTTTCCCCAGATTTATTTTTTAACCATTTTTGTACACTGTACTTTTCATGTGCCATTGTAGCACAAAACAGGTGCCATTGTAACACAAGTTGAGTACTGTATAGATACAAAATAGTTTATTGACATTATTTTACTTTACATCATTGAAGATAAAACATTTGAAACCAGATTTTTTAAAATCAATATGTTTGCAGTTACTGAAATAATATGTTAATGTGGAAAACTCTCAAAATCACTGTCCTTACAGGGAAGTTCTGTACAAAGGTGCTTTAAACATTTGGGTTCCTGGTATCAATTTCATTGACTCAGACTTCTCTCCAGTCTCTGGTTTTTATGCTCATTTTATTTGAAAGCAATAGTTTGTAATGCATATTCCTTTAAATGCTAGGATCTCAAACTAGCTTCCCAAACTGCCAGCATCTCCCAGGTGGGAGGTGTTGTAGCAGCTCAGTACATCAGCCAAGTGAGCTGTTGAGAGCTTTTAAAGCTACTCAGAGGAGGAAGGTTCTGAAGGGAACCCAAAGACTGACTCCCAGGTCATGTATTTTAACCACTGAGCAGCACTAGTTTCTGGCTTGCATACTTCTCAGCAGAGGTGAAATGATAGTTCATCATAGTCTAGGATTATTGAAAGATGCTGGTGTTGAGTTTTCCAGGACAAAAAAAGTCTGGGCAAAGAGTTTTGCAGAGAAGAAAAAATGCCTTGGAAAATGCGTGTGCCTTCCGTTAAAATAGTGGAGTACCTTAAACCTTTGAAAATAAATTTCTCAAATTTGAACCTGGATACTTCAGGTACATTAGAGATTCCTGTAAGAGGGGGACTTAAAAATAAAGGACTTGCTCTTTTACAGGACTGACATGTCTGTGAAAGTACTGGAGTTTATGTATGCCCCTCATGTAAGCAGATGAAGCTCATTAATGTCATATGCATTAGCTGTACAGATGGAGAGACATTTCCAGATAGCCTCAAATAGATTGGATTTATCTAAGCTAAGTATGGATCATGAGTTTGTTAATGGGACAATCTTTCCTCTTTAATTATTGTAAAGATCTAGCAAATTCTGGAGCCCAGCATTATTCTGAAATACCTTTTCTTTCCCATCCTGGGAACTGTGTCAGCAACATAATTCTTTATTCTTGATGGTTCCACCTGAACAAACCAAGGGAATTTGTGTCTTTTAAGAGAACACAAGTTCTTCCTTCCCCTTCCTGCTTGCTGCCAAAGATGAGTTAGCAGAGTGAAGAAAGTACAGGGTATCTCTGAGTGGGCGTATCCTTGTGTGCCTCTTGGAGATGAACACTTGTTTGGTCCAGTGACATCAGCTTGCTTTG